ACGTCTTGATCAATGGGTTGCCTCATCCCGGAGGGGCGGGGTACCCATATTGCCGAGTGAGATTGGGCGACCAAAACGGCGTGATAATCTTCAAAATTCAAACAATTTGCACTGATGAAACCTGATTCCAAACTTTTCGTTTTGCTCATAAATTATAATATCAAAATATCATATCGCAAATTCAGTCTCAAAATTGAAATTTTCCGTCATTTTCATAGTTCCCCTTATCGGGTGCAAAACCCTATTTTGGGGGGCGGGGGGGAGAGCACCCTATCGGCGCCCCCAGAAGCCCTTGCCTCTTAAGCACCATCCCCCCAGCTCGCCAATGTTTTTGGGCTAGCTACGGGCCTGAAGTGTGGATTAAGTCGTGAAAGACTTGATATTTTCCAAAAAATGCAAATTTTGGGGGGCGGGGGGGAGAGCACCCTATCGGCGCCCCCAGAAGCCCTTGCCTCTTAAGCACCATCCCCCCAGCTCGCCAATGTTTTTGGGCTAGCTACGGGCCTCAAGTGTGGATTGAGGTCAATTACCTCTAAGTACCACTAAGATTTCCAGTCAACCCTAAGTCCAAATCAAATAGTCATTCGAATAAACCAGTCGATGGCTTATTAAAATTATAAAAATATCGTTTATCATTGTTTTTGTCTATTTTTTATGTTCCCCCATGTTCAAATTTGATTGTTCAAATTAAAACTTTAAGGTGCTATCATAGTTATTGCCACCGTTGCTTAATAAAGTCATGCCATATTTTCTCCCTCGTCAAATTGAGCGACAGATTTATTTGACTGGATTATTCGACTGAACTATTTGACTGATGTTATCGACTGAACTAATTGACTGATTTTATCAACTGGACGAGGCAATATAAAAATGTCATATACCTCATCCCCACCCGCCCGGCTTTCCCCTCACCCCACCCGCACCCCCTTTCTACGGTCATTTTTAGGGACTCTATTCTTTTCGAGGTGGGTGGGGTGGGGTGGGGCGAAAATATTAGTATCTACTTATGTACATCCCGGCCCCTGCACCATGCCCCCAGGTCCTTCAGCTATGGCTACGAGTATGATTTGCTACTGTATATTATCTTAGTCCACTGCCACCGCAGTACATGTAGGTGATACATGTACTTAAGTAGATACTAATATTTTGGCCCTGCCCCCCCCCCACCTCGAAAAGAATAGAGTCCCTATATATGATATGAACGTAGAAAGGGGATGTGATGGGGGTGTGGGGATGAGGTATTCGACATTTTCGTGTAGCCTCGTCCAGTCGATATAATCAGTCAATTAGTTCAGTCTATAACATAAGTCAAATAGTTCAGTCGAATAATCCAGTCGAATAAACCAGTCATATACACCAGTCGAATAATCCAGTCGAATAAAAGAGTTGCTCAATATTAAGCAGCGGTAGAGTTGCAAATCATGCTTGTAGCCATAGCTGAAGGAGTCGGGGGCATGAGGTAGGGACGGGGGCTTCCAAATTAGTTTCAAGTTCGATTTTACGGCTAAAGTAGTTTGATAATTAAGGTATTCAGGCGATTGTTAAGCCATAACTGAAGGATCCAGGGGCTCGGGAGGGAAGGGGGAGGGGTGGGGGGTCTTCACCAGTCTTAAGTGATACATGTACTTAAGTACATACTAATTTTGCCTAAATACCAATTATCAAACTATTTTTGCTCGCAAAATCGGAATTGAAACTAGTTGGGAAGCCCCCGGGTCCCTACCCCATGCCCCGGCATCTTCAGGTACGGCTACGAGTATAATTGGCTACTCTATATTATCTTAGTCCATTGCCACCGCTGCTTAATATTGAGCGACTTGTTTATTCGACTGGTTATTCGACTGATTTATTCTACTGGTTTATTCGACTGGATAATTCGCCTGGTTTATTCGACTGGATTATTCGACTGAACTATTTGACTGATGTCATCGACTGAACTATTTGACTGATGTTATCGACTGAACTAATTGACTGATTTTATCGACTGGACGAGGCCACATGAAAATGTGAAATACCTCATTTCCACACGCCCCCCCCTTTCTATGGTCATATATAGGGACTGTATTCTTTTCGAGTTGTGGGTCGACAATATTAATATGTACTAGTACATGTATCACCTAAGACGGGTGAAGCCCCCCCCCCACCCTTCCCTCGCGATTCCCCAACACCTTCAGTTATGGGTTAAGCATCACCTAAATACCTTCATTATCAAACTACTTTTGCCCATAAAATGAGACTTGATACTAGTTGGTTTCCCCTGCCTCTATCCCTTACCCCCGGCTCCTTCCGCTATGACAGTGAGCATAATTGGCTACTCTATATTATATTAGTTCACTGCCAATCGTCAAATACCCCCACCTCCACCTCCACCCCCACCCCCGCCCAGCCTACAGGCATATGTAACGATTCTATGCATTTTAATGTGGGAGCCGTTCGTAAGCAAGATTATCAAATAACTGGTCTGATTCCAATTTCTAACTTTCCGGCGCGAAATTTCTTGTTAAAAACTGACTGTAAATTTATGTTTTCTATGGTTTTCCTAGTGTTTCTAGCTTACACATAAATTTAATGTTTGACAATCTCTTGAACCCAATATTGAATTCAGTAATCCCGAAAACATTATTTTGCAAACAATATCCACACGAACAAAAATCGCAATTTTGGATTTAATTTTGATTCACAAGAGAAATCTACCCAAACCAGTACCATGCTCATATTACCTTTTTTGGCAAAGATTCTGTAGAATGACTTGCATATATTTACCTATGCATGCATATAGTTTCATTACAGTTTAACATATGTTCTTATTTGCTTCTGGCTAAGTGGGTAAGACGCTGGCTCCGCTAGCCTGGAAGTCGGGTATTCGATCCCTGCATTGGCCGAGAAAGTTCATCCAGATTTTCCATCGTGGTTCCCCCTTGTCAGTGATGCAGGACGGAGGGCCTGGCAAGGACAGCTGTCTAGTCATTCGGATGAGACTAAAAACCGAGATCCTGTGTACACATTGGCGTGCACATAAAAGATCCCTTGACAGTTGGAATTTGATATAAGAGTAGGCCGTAGTGCCGCTGTCCAGCCAAAATTACCCTCATAGCACACTATATGGCGTATGCCCGTCTTCATTATCCCAGTTCGGAGCAAAACACTAGGATGTTAAACCCCATTTCATTTCATTTCATTTCTAGTTTATTTCATGCGTTTAGTTTATGTGTGTGTATACGATCCGGCCGACTACCTTTGGGTTATAAGCATACATTTCAAGTTTAAACCAAATCCGATAAAATGTGACCTCTACAGTGTTTACAAGCTAAAAACGTGATTTTTCGTACAATCAGGGGCTATAATCCATGAAGTTACAGTCCGATACATGCCAATATCGAAAGGAACCGAGATCTCAGGGTGATAAACCTATATTTAAAGTTTCATTGAAATCGGATAAAAATTGTGACCTGTAGACTGTTCAGGGTGATAAACCTATATTTAAAGTTTCATTGAAATCGGATAAAAATTGTGACCTGTAGACTGTTCACAAACAATTGTGGACGGACAGACGGACAGGGTCAACGACAATACACATCCACTAATACTGTCGTTATGTCGTGTTGTCGGGTTATGAAAATGGCGAAAAATTACATGGCCACTATCAGCCACCATAGTATTGGAGAAAATCTGCGTTAGAAAATCGGGAGTAGAAAATCTGAAGTGGAAAGTCGAGAGTCAAAAGTTGACAGTAGAAAGCGGAAAGTCGAAAGTCAAAAGTTGATAGTAGAAAGGAGAAATTTTGTCCATGAAAGTAGAATTATGACGATTAAAAGTTGAAAAGTTTGATGTTTCTACTGACTAAGCACATAAATTTATAGGTTTTCACCATAAAAATACACTTTTAGATAAGAATTTTCCCGTTTACTTTAGATTTTCTACTTTTTACTGTTGACTTTCTGCTTTTTACTCAAGATTGCATTTTGAACCCGATACTCCGCCATAATACCCGTCCCCTCTAGGAGAACGCTTCAGTTTTACACAACTGAAGTGAAACCAACCAAATTTACAGTTTTCGTTGTCACATTGTACCATACGACCACTTTCTGGTTCTTTACATATGCAAAACACATTTGCACTGTCTTTAATTTGGATGTCAGTTAGATTACCGTCTCCACCACATGAGTTTAAACTTGATAATAGTATTTATGTTCATGTTTTAACTGCATAATGTACAAGCAAATTTTTTCCACAGTATTTTCATCAATATCTTCAGTGCATATGCCAAAAGGGCATTTCATTCCCAAAGATCCTTCACTGCAACCGTCACAAACAACAACTCCATCAGGAGAAGCACCTAAATAGGGAAAGCTAGCATTAGGGTACAATCCACTTCCATTAACACGAAAGTTGTCACAAGGTTCAGTCATTTTCTGTTGGGACTGCTTGGTGCTACATTTTTCGTCCTTACATCCCTAACGCGTTGCAGCATTCGAAAAGGTTTTTTTTTTTCATTTTGGTAACATAAATATAGACTTGATCAGTGATTGTGATGGTTTTGTCAAATTTGTTCTGCATACATCTTTCATTCTGGATGCTGTAATTCCCCCTGTTCTAAAGAAAAATCGTGCTGTGAAAGTCACTAAACTAATTATACATGGATTAAAGATACATTATGGGAGATTTTTATAAGGAGTTAGCCATTTTTGCTATGACAGTTCAAAAATAAATGATGAAAGAAGAATATATTGAAAATTTCAGTCAAATTGCTTTATTCTGAACATACATGTAGTTATCACCAGTGTAACTTTTGACTAGAAATGGGATTGAATGGATGCGGGGTGGGGGTATAACTTATTTTGATTTTAATTCTTTAGTTCATCTTAGCATTGGAAACGTGAGATATAATTTACAGATAATGGGACAGTTGATTGTGTATTTGTTTCTGCTACGTATATTTATAGCCTGTTTTTTAACAGTACAGATACCCCACGTCCTTGACCCTGTTGCTTATCTTTAGACAAATCTCATGTGGATAATGGTATGCCTTTAAAGTAAAGGGTAAGATGATTCATAGAACATTCGGGACTGTTTACACTTATTTCGTACTATTTTTATTGGTGTGGACTGTGAATGGCCAAGAGGAGACGTTTGGAGATTTTGAAACGTTGACAAGTGGTCAGGGTTGGTATTATAAAGGATGTACAGTAGACTTGAACACGGATAGTTTTACTGGACACCACAGCCTACACGTCATTAATAGGTATATAGTTTTCATAATGTTAAATAATTAGCCAGTGATTGGGCTAAACAAGGCGGACTTACGCGATACAGTGTGCTATGGGGGGAAATTTTGTCCGGACAGCGGCGCTGCGACCTACTTATCGAATTCTAACTGTCAAAGATTCTTTTAAGTGCACGTCAATATGAACACGAGACATCTGGTTTTCTTCCATTCTGAACGAATAGACATTGTCCTTGCCAGGCAACCTACCCACCACCACTGACAAAGGGAACCCGCACTGGATTATCCCGAGGAATTTAACTAACAGTTACGGTAACACAAATAGCGAACCTGAAACCTGCTTAACGAGCGAATGTCTTACTCGCAGAGCCACAGCGGCTCCCCCGGTGAGATAAGTACTACAGCCTGATGCAATGTATCACGGAACACTATAATGGAAAGCAAAAAACCCAGATCTTAATAAGACAAAAAAAGCCAGTTATGCGTATGCTAATATGCTTACTTCTATGCATGTAACTTCTTACTAACATGTGAAATTGGCTATTTACACATATAAAAATGCTAATTTATATTTCTTAAATATTGCAGATGGAATAAGTATTTTGTTCTATTTCCGTTATTACTCTTAATTTATCGTCGTCAGTTTAGCTTTGTTAACATTTTGACATTTCATAAATTTTTCGCTGGTAAAGGCGTCATAATTCTAGAGCTCATTTTGGTAACAGATGGCACTGTTTACAATTGTATGGTGGCTCATTGGGAACATGTAAAATCGCGCCATTTCCACAACCCGACAGACCTGACGACATTTTTTCTGTCAAAAATAATAAAATATTTTACGTACAAAAGCAAACTATTCTAGATATTTTTGGCATAAATAAATAGGCTATTTTGTCGTGCATTTTCACAAATAATGCACTATCGATTGTTTTGGCCTATTTGTTTTCTAAAAGAATAATATATAGCCAATCTGATTAAAACACAGATCCTATTTCGTTTCGTTTTTTATAGTTAAAATGTTTGTTTTACTTATCTTTACTACACAAGGATCTGGAAGAGTTGTTATATTATCAGCGTTTGGGTTGAAGTGAGGGATAAGCCAATGAAACAGTCTGTTACGACGACTTCTTGGCGTGCCATGCACGGAACTGTGTGTAACCCACTAGAAACGCCAACGCTGATTGATTAATCAATTTCTGACGTCATAGGGTCAAAAGTCACTCATACGACCCCTCACATGACCTCATAGTACAACTTGTCAGATCTTCATGTAGTGTAGGCCATCGAAAGTATAAACAAAACGGAAACCCAATGGCGTACACCAAGATTAGGCCATAGCGCCCATGTCCGTACAAAATCCTCTGACATGGCGCACACCAAGGCGCATGCCCGTCTTCATTAGCACAGTGGTGCATAACGGCAAGATGTTAAACTTTATTTCATGTTATTTGATTTCCAAATCACCGGTTTTCTGTTAGGAGGTAAGAGGACGATTCAGCGCTCTTATTGAACTCATTCTATAGTTTGGTGTCATAACTAAACGAATTAAAAATTGGTATAGTTCTGAATTGTTTACACCCTCTCAAAGTTCCATATTATGCTCCTGTTGAGAGGTTCCAGGGTAATTGTCACCACCCCTCCCCTCTTATATTTTAATGTTTCCATGCCTATAAATTTGGAATCAATAAATTTATACCAATGATACTTGACAGGAGTGCAAAGGTACATAACCGTAAAATTGATTAGTCAATTTAGGGTAGTATAAACAAATATTATGCTTTCAAGATTTTGCATCCACCCATATTTTTATGTGTACGTATTATGTCATCACCCCTGTCCGTGCGTGTGTCTACAGGTCACAATTTGTTATCCGACTTTGATGAAATTTAAACAATATGTTGATGTCTCAAAGATCTCGGATGGGATCGATTTTGGCACCTATCGCACGATAACGTTTTGGATTATGGCTCCTGATCGTACGAAAGTCGCGCACATAGCTTGTGGATCCTCTTGGGGTCACAATTTTTATTCAATTTCTTTTAAAACTTAAAATGTATGTTTATATCCGAAAGATCTCGGATAGGTTCCATTTTGGAAAATATCGGAACATTAATTTTCTGGATTTTTGCTCCTGGTTGAACGAAAATCGCGTACATAGCTTGTGTGATCCGAAGAGATCAAAAGTTTGATTATATGTGTTTAATACACAACAATCACTGATGAATTCGATTTTGGAGAAAATCGGACCTTAACTTCCCGTGAAAATTGCCCCGTCCCTTTACGCAAATACATGTAGGGACAAAGCATGTAATACATATACCAAGTTTTAAATGACACTTAAAATAAAATATGCGTCGAAGGTCGACGAATCTGGTATGCGCATCTACTTCGAAAGCAGCATCTTGAGTTATGGCCCCTGTCATTTACGCAAAAAGAGAAATATGCACGAAGTTTCTGGGCCCAATTTTTGATGAAACTTAAAATATGTGTTAGGAATCGAAATATCCTGGATTGGTTGAATTTAGTGAGCATCGGACATATTCCGTTCAAGAGTTGTAATCCTTTTCCGAAAACACTGTGAACGCGATACAGGCTATAGTTTTTAACAAATTTTTTTTTTATCAAATTAGGTTATGTCCCTTTAGCCGAAAACCCCATCAATATTTAGCCTTCCGTAACCTCCCTTTAACAGATTTAATACTTGTTCGATGTAAATCATTGGGACAATGAGAGAACAAGCCCTAGATTACTAGATTACTTAAAGATACATTATGGAAGATCAGAGTACGATTTGCAGTTCTCACTATACTAGTTAAAAACTAGATAATGTAAAGGGGATATGCTGAAAATTGCTCCACTCTGAACCGAGATATTAGCTATTGATTTTTCGACCTAACCTCGTTCATCATTACTTAAGTCGGTACGATAAAAAAACATAGACTCGATTATCCATTTTTTTTATTTAATCATCAATGAGCGTTGATCAGCAGATCGGATTCAAATCCAGTGACAATCCGACACATAAGATGGCATCGAAAGTTGATTAAGGTCTTTTCATTAATTAATAGTTTATATAACATTTCTATGGAAGGGCATTGCTGCCAATATTAAATGCTTTGGGACTATGTCGTTTCCATTGATTATATGTAAAAAGTACAATGTACAAAGACCTAATACCGAAAGTATGTTTCTTTGGCTGTTTGAATCTATAAATTATTTCCTGGCACATTCATGATTACGCACGGTCGTCTAAATAGTTTCTTATGGTGTGCCAGCTTGAATTATTGTTATCGAGCGGTGAATATCCTTATAGTGTGCTGGTTTATAGTGTGCCGGGTTTCCGTATATGTTAATAAGTCACGTGATATCCTACATTTGCATATGAAAGTTGATGCTGTGCGAAACATGCTATTTAGAATGCGTGAAGGACAAATGGAATGTGGCAGAGAACAAATGTAAAATGTAATGAGAGAAATGTAAAATGTAGACACGTCAAAAAAAGCATTTCCCCCCACAAAACATTTGTCATTTAACACTTAACATTTGACGTTTTACATTTAACTCTTGACTTATGGGTATTTTGACTTTGTCATTACCGGTATTAGGACTTTGTACATTGTACTTTTTACATATAATTGGGGGGTGGGGGGGGGTGGCCGAATGGTTAGCACGTGCGTGCTGTATCATAGAGCCTGTCATTGAGCCAACTGGCTTGTTTTCGAATCCCCGGTTGTACGTTACAAGGAGCAGGGTCGCCTGTCCAACCTCGTGGGTTTTCTCCGGGTCCCCCGGTTTCCTTCCACTGCTAAAGACCACTACGCGCAAGCGAATTATTGAAATAAAATTAATCCATATGTTAGTCCCGAAATGACCTAGTTTGTGTCGAGTGAACGTTTAACCCCATTTCAATCTCTCTTTACATATAATCAGAGCATTTAATATTGGCAGCGATACCCTTGCATACATTTCAGGCCTAAAGAAACACCTGCAATTGGCAGATTTAGCTCTTGCATAATGTGTATGTTTAAATAATATCGGAATAATTTACTTTTGCACGTAAAATACTTTATTTTTCTTGCACGTTAAAAAAAATAACCTATTTTTTCTTTCAAAATTGTCGAGAATGATTTACTTTTGTATCTATGTTTCAAAGAAAAAATGTCATGTTGTTGGGTTATATAAAAAAAAGGCACAATTTCACATGTCCTCAATGAGTCACCTTATAGTGAACACCGCCAGCTGTTACCATAATGGGAGTTAGAATTATGACTTATCATTACGGGTTAAAAAGGAGTCATAATTTCAACGCTCAATATGCTAAAATATGGCGCTGTTTATACTATATGGTGGCTCATTGGGGACATGTCAAATCTCGCCTTTTTCATAACCCATCAGACATAACAACATTTTTCTGTCAAAAATAATAAAATATTTTACGTACAAAAGCAAATTATTCTAGATATTTTTCAGATGAATACATTACCACATTATGACTCTTTTATGTAACAATATGCCACTCATTCGCTAACTTGATTTAAGTTCATATATGTGAATATAATAACTTGCCAAAGATATCAATTAATACAATATAATATAATGCCATCATTAATTTCAAGAGCAAAATTCTAGCAAAATTCTTACATTCGTCCCTTTCTTTAAGACTTTTTGCTCGTTATTAGGTAAACCATAACCATACCAACATCCGTAGAATTATATAAGTATTCATACATGTAGCAGAAATCTCGAAAACCTACATATATATATCACCCCCCCCCCCCCCCTTCTAAGATTTATGCGAAATGAAAAGACAGGAGACTCTTAAAAACTTCCGTGTACTAAACCATATAATTATTCATGCAACATGCACATATATATCTGCACAATCTGCGTCAATCTGTTCCAAGAATATAAGTATCAATGAAAACACAAATAAACAAAAATCGGTGTGTCGCTTACAGACAGCAATTCTTAATTGATCGTCTTAAAACCTTACATAGTTATTATTCCTTATACTCTAAGGATGACCCCTATTGTTTTTGGTGCATGCCCGACTCCCAGGGGCAAAGCCACGCCCAATTTTTGTATTAGTTTCTTTGTCCTCTACAGGCCACATGATTTAACTTTGCATACTTATTCCTTATACCCAAAGGATCATTACTATTGTTTCTGATGCATGGCCATCTCCTAGGGGCAGAACCACGCCCAATTTTTGTATTTGTTTCTTTGTCGTCTACAGGCCACATTTTTTTAAACTTTGCATACTTATTTCTTTTATCCTAAGGATCATTACTATTGTTTTTGTGCATGCCCATCGCCCATTTGTAGAACCACGCCCATTTTCTTTTTGTGTGTCTGTGTGTCGCCTACAGGCCGCAATTCTTAATCGATCGTCTTGAAAACGTTTCATACTTAATCCTTGTACCCGTAGGAGGACCTGAGTTATTTTTTGGTACATGCCCGACCCCCCTGGAACACAACCATACCCATTTTGTGTGTGTGTGTGTGTGTGTGGGGGGGGTCTGTGTATCGCCTACATGCCGCAATTCTTAAACAAACATTATGCAAGAGCTAAATCTGTCTATTGTAGGTCCTTCTTTAGGCCTGAAATGTTATATAAACTATTAATTAGACATTAATTAACGTATCCAGACCATAATCAACTCTCGATGTCAACGCTAGCCTGCGATATTTGTTGGATTATGATACGATTTGCTGCGTAACTTTCCTTCTCGATTTAACGATTAAGTGGATAATCGAGACTATGATTTTTGTCGTACCGACTTTAGTAATGATGACCGAGGCTATGCGGAACTTTCAATCACTTATTTCTCGATTCATAGTGGATCAATTTGACTGAAATTTTCAGCAAATTGCCTTTACATTTTCTAGTTTTTAACTATTATAGTGAGGACTGTAAACTCGTTATTGTATCTTTAACAGATACTTTTGAACAGATCCCTGGGGGCAGAGCCATACCTATTTGTTCTTTGTGTGTCTGTCTGTGTGCTACCTACAGGCCACAATGGATCATCTTGGATCTTGGCGTTTGTATTCCTAATAAACTCGACGGCAACTATTGATCATGATTTTGGTGGATCTACGGACTCCCAGGTAGCAATTCCGAATGGATCATCATGGAACTTGGTATGCTTGGACGGCAACTATTGATTTTGGTGTATGGCAAAACAAACCCAACACCTAGCCTTTTATGCCTCTTGTCATAATTATTACAGTCGTTGCCGCCATTTTATATTCCATTCTCTTCATTTTAAAAAAGAATACCATATCAATCAAAGCAGGATGCTCTTGTTAATTTTCAATTGATTAACGGCACAGATTAAAGAACATTTCGAGTTGGTATATAATGTACACAGTTCTTTTTGATACCAAATAAAACTTAAAATATTTTCATACGAAAAGTCCAATACAGCAACTATTTTCTATAGATTGCTGTTGGCATCGAAAATACGAGGTGTGGGCTCTAAGCACAAATTTCAGTTATAAGCGCGATTATTCTTTTCATTCCCTTACCACTTTTACTTTTATTAAACATAAATAAATTTTGGAATAATTGTAGACAAGCTGCATGGGGTGGAATATATTTTGATGTTTCTGTCAAGCCGTTAACCAATTATTATTTTCACGCAAGAATCAAACTTCTGAACATTTCTCCAAGGAAACTGACAAGTAATGTACAAGTTACGAATTTGGTTAATTCAACCGGACACGGTAAATATATATATATCAATAATTGTACTAAACAGCATAAAAAACGTCAGTACGATTTCAAAATCAGACAGGCACTTTAATCAAATCATTCTAGAAAACGACTTACTAAATGGATCAAAGCATTTTTTTGTGAACAGTATGTTGACACATTAGTAATTAATTCATCACAATTCCAAGACATTACGAGAAGGTTTAGAGTCTGTACACGGTCTATACATCAGTATCTGGTGTGTCCACGATTGGTGAACGCCATTGGCACCTGGAACCACACTCTCAGAAAAGCCTGACGCAATCCATCGGCTGTGTTTGGTCTCGGTACGACGTTATTAAGTCTCCTCTGAATTTCATCCCAAAGATGTTCAATCGGGGTTAAGTCGGACTAAGGGCTGGTCAGTGCATAACGTTGACACCGTTCTGGTGTAGAAAGTCCCAAGTAACTCTTGCGGTGTGGGCAGGGGCGTTGTCGTGCTGGAAAACGTTGTTTCGGTGACGTGAGAAATGTGGTATGACGTGGGGTCTGAGAGCTTGATCGATGTAGCGCACTGCTGTGATGCGACCTCCTCTCCCTGGACCAAGATTTTGGAACACCACAGGACCCACTTTTTGTTCAGGCCGATTCCACCCTAAACCATTATGCTTGGACCTCCCAATGAATCTCGTTCCATGACACATTGGTCGGAATAACGCTGGCCGCGTCGACGCTATATTCTGGTCCTGCCATCTGCAGTTGATACGCAATACCGACTCTCATCTGTGAACAGAAAAGTTCTCCATTGACTGTATTCCCATTTCTGGCGTTGTTGGGCAAACTGTAGCCGTTCACGTCGATGGCGAGTGGTGAGGATCGGTCCACGGTAAGGTCTACGGCAACGGATGTTCTCTCTGGGGAGACGTTGGCGCACTGTATCAACTGATGGGTCTTCCGCGTGTTCCCACTGTCTGACGTGCCGTCTCAGATGCCGTGTGAAGGGATTCTACACGTGCTGTCGCACAACATGACGGTCTTATTGCCTTGTGATAACCCTTGGTCTACCAGTTCGGGGGCCTGGGCAGTGTGGCCAGCGTCGAGTCTTCCAAGCGCCTTGTTCCTCTGAGCTGTCGTGAGTCGTGGCATGCTGCTGACGTTATAGTGTGAATGATTTAACCAGGTATGGGGGTGCATTTTATAGGACTGGTCCCGGTGAACAGCACGTGCAGCATGAGTTACATGAAAATAATGGAGAGCATATTACCATCTAAGAAGTCATGTTGTGTTTTTGAGAACATTTCCTGGGTTCAATTTTGTGTTTGGGAAGGAGTCGTATTACTCAGGTAAAGTTGGAGATGTGGTCACAAAATTAATAAACAATAAAAACATTTGGCAAGTTTTATGCAATGCGTCTATTCAGAGTAACATACCAACCTGACGTTTCTTTTGCTGCTTAGTATATTTCAAATACAAACAGGCCAACAGTAATGCTGATGGCCCCCCCCCCCCCCCGCATTAAAACCGCGTGATTTTTTGCCATTTGTGAGAGGCGCAAAAACTCAAGGGGGTGCAAAAACTCAAAACCATGACATAGCCCCTGGTCAAGGCATTCTCAACCTCGTGGGTTTACTCCGTGTACTCCGGCTTCCTCCCACAAGAAAGACCCCTGCGCGTGCGCTAAGATAATAAAAATGAAAAATAAGACTTGTCTGCGATATCACCTTCGGGGGAAGCGGACGTTACACAGTAAGAAGAACAACAACAAGATAGAGTGTAATATTTTGAGTAAAATGTCATCGAGGTGAGGATTATTAACCGATTTCGGAATCGAAAACTGTTGGGAAATTTGGCAGTTCACGGGGCTGTAAATTCCTATGTTGTATACATGATACTGTTTTGATTTCTTGTATTGAAGGTTCTCGGCACCAAAAACTTGGTGAGGTGAGATTTATGCAGCCAAACATATGGCAGGAGATTGGTGGGGATTTTACTACCCCGCCTGGTATGTAATAGATATAATTTGCTTTGATTTATGTTAGACGTATCGAAATGCAAAATAAAGTGAAAGACCAAGAAGTAGTGGGCGGGGATTTGCTAACGCTCCATTTTGCGATATCAATCGTATCAATCGTTTGCACAAGCGAAAACAATTCAGCGCACAGAAACTGATGAGAACGAAATCGATACATGTGATTCCGTGGACATTCGCTTTGAGAAAGGTTTGGTATTTCGGCTACATAGTTCAATTGTTGCGAGTTTAACCCCAATTTGTGGAGAAATACTCTACTTTTCCACTAAAAGTATACCACTATCGATACAGTAAAGCGAAGAAGAGTGGTGCACGAAAAGAACAGAAATAGACATGCAGCTTATATTCGTTTGGACAAAGAAATCCGTTTTGCCGGTGACACTATTAAGGCACATTTCCGATAAAGATTTGGACACCGTGGCTTTACTTGAAGCATTCTCAATAACTATAAGGGATTGTAATGAGCGATTGTTGATATTTTGGCTTTATTTGAAATAAACCCGAAAGGCTAATTGATTTGATATAACATGGGGGGGGGGGGGTCGATTAATACAATTTCTTAATCTTACTGTCATTTCACCATGCTGGCTAATGATATATATTTATAAATTACAGACGTGACCGGGGTATCGATTTATGTTCAGCTTCAGGACATCGATGTTAATTATTTGTTAGATTCTGCTGTATTTAATGAGGTACCATCATTATCACCAACATGGCGCCAAGATTCCGACACTCTAATAGACAAACTCCGAAAAGATGATATTCATATAAGGTAAGAGAATAATTTTTAGCATGTGAATTCTTGAAACGACATAGTAGAAATTGTAAGTACGTACTTGAAAATATGTTATCCATTTATATACGCCCACATTGAAATGTGATGGTATATTGTGGTCACACTCGTCAGTGTTTTGTATAAAAGATGTAAAAACTGTTAGCACTAGAATGAACTAGACGTCGATCAAATTTAAATTATTTCTGGTAATTAATGCATGGGTTGTTACTTTTGATCAGTGTTTAATGTCTTGTAAATGTTGAAATTACTTAAAAAAAAGAATAAATATGCGGCAACCTCTGTGGACTGCTCAGAAGTCTTAGTTGCTGTGATGTTTCTGAAGTAAGGCCTTGTTTGATACGAAGCCGTAAGTGTTGGCAAAAATTATGCGGTATCTAAATAGAACTTTTAAATATATAATTGTTATGCCTATGTGTACAAAGCTCGGAAGTCTTAGTTGCTGTGATGTTTCTGGGGTAAGGCCTATTTGATATGAAGCCATAACTGTTGGCAATAATTATGCAATATCTAAATACATGTAGAACTGTTAAATATATAATTGTTATGCCCATGTGTACAAACAAACACTGTGAAGGCTAAAATTATGGTTGGTTCTCTTTCGGATTTGTGAGATTGACTAGTTATATTAGAGAAAAAAAAACATTCTTGTTTTATTGTGATGTTTTTAACATTAATATTTTGATATTGTGTCCTTGTGTTAGGAAACCTGGATGTGGTTTTTTTATTATGATACTCGTTTAATTTCAGGGTACAGGAAGAATTTGGTTCGTCGAATCTTACAGTTGAGGTAAATATTTAATGTGCTATTTACATGGAAACTATAATTTATATTTTGGATCCGGTCCTTTGCTGTTAATGCTGTCATACATATTAGAGTCGGCTGACTGACTTCGGACATGCGCGTCGGATAATTTCGGCGAATTCGTCATAAGAATATACTACCTAAAATGGTTCATGTAGCTGCATTCATTACTGTTACTAACAATGGTAGTATATTTTACAGTTACAACAATTGAAGAGTGAATTTGCCTTTGGTTCTGCTGTCAATGCTGAGTATATAGTTAATCCTAATTATAAAGGTTATCAAGATTTCTTCTATGATACATTTGAATGGGGTGTCCTTGAAAATAAACTTAAATGGAAACAGATGGAGTGGTCGCATGTAAGTAAGCTACATTGATTATCATATCTAAGCCATTTTGTTCAATTCTGTATTACTGATTGAAACGTTTCCTGGCCTCATATGATGGACATTATTCTTTAATTTAGATTTTCGAAATTTTTAACAAATTAGTCTAAGAAATGGTTCTCGTTTAGCTATTAGGTCTACCGCGTGGTGACAAAAAAAACATATGAAGATCCATGATCGTGATGATTCGCCTGTGGCGTGGTTATCTAGTAGAGCAGTGGGCTTTCCCAATCCGCTCGGTTATATCGACTTTTTATCGACTTTCTCCCTTTTAATTTCCTCTTTTCGTCGATTATCCATATTAAATAAAGTTAGTGTTCGGCACGAATATTCGCTCTTTGAATATAATATTCGAATATTTGAATAGCAATCACCATATTCGAATATTTTCGAATATCTACATTATTGATTCTATTTGCTCTGAAATATTATTACAGACAACTTTCGTTGTCACATTTACATTCGAAGCTTACTTAGATTGCCTACCGTCGTCAGAGACGAATCGTCTTCAGAGACGGTTAGTTATTCGGTAGTAGCTTGTTACCTACTTTAAAACTAATTGTAGCCTGGTAGGAGAACCTCGGATTTGGGTGATCTGAGGGGAAAAAATCCGAAACAAATCATTCTTGCTTTTTATGAAAGATCTATATGAGTACAAATCCAGGAAAAAAATCCACCAAAATCGCAAAAAAAAGTTACAGGCGTTCTGTTTTTTGTACCCATTCGACTTATAAAATCCACAATTGTTCTAAATTTTCGTCACTTTTTTCGGCATGCTGAGAATATTTTTGTGCATCACAAATGCTTATCCACTATTAGACCATCGACAAAATCAGTAAATTCCCATGTTGGGAAATTCTAATTGTAAAGACGTCCATAACTGCCCCTGCCCCATCCCAAAAGCTAAGCTAGATCAGCGCATTTACCAACTGCATGAAATTTGTTGCATAATGTTCAGCATCGTCACGTGCATCAAAAGTGCCAACTGTCAGATATTGTCAGTGGTGGGGTAAACTCGTCAGGCGCCTCTAATCGCCCCTACCCCACTAGCTCATTTACTAACCACACGAAACATGTTGAAAAATGTTCAGCAAATTCACATGTATTAAAAAAGACCACCTCCAGACATTTTCAGCGGTGAGGAAACCCCGCCGGGCTGAGTGATTTACCCACTACTACCCAATACTAACTCGTTATTGTGGGAAACTAACATAATACTTCAATTATGTTGGGTAGTATTGGGCAAACTTCCTGTCGTCCCATCAAAACGTTCCTATTCCCCCACACCAAAGGCTAGGCCAGATGAGCACATTTTCTTATCGCACGAAACTTGTGGCAAAATGCTCTGCACAAGAATGGCAATGGCCAGATCCAGCCAGAAATCTAATTGATCAACTACAAAAGCTTATCTACATTACCACATGACTAACGTATAAAATATATCTGAAAACCATAACATATTCCAACGAAACATAAATGGCCACTAAGCTGTTTATCTCTGGCGAAATGTCAATGCAGATTCTATCGTCGCTATTAAAGGGCTAATCCCGATAATATTTTGGATAATAAAACTGGTTAATGCTATGTTAAAATCCTCTACCTTAGGGCCGAGCAACTAACTCAATATATTTGATACGTTTTCAAACAATTGAAATCCGTCAGTCTTAATCTGGAAGTGGGGACCGGTGTCCCAAGCTGTATTATGCGGTGTTTGGATAAAACCAGACTTTTATTTTATAAAAATAATGTGTAGGTGAAATTTACCTTTTGGTTATCCAGTACAGAACGTGGATCATTCACTGTATAAACCTCTAAAGGAAGGGGAATCGATTATCAGGTCACCCAACGAAAAAATTGACCCAAAATCTTAAAAGGGTTACGTGTCCGGATAAGCAGTTTTGAAGTTCACGTCCAAATGACTCAATATTTTGAGCTGAAATGTTGAGACAGGGTAAATACACCATTCCTCTATATTTTGGCGTTTAAATTTCATACGTACTCAGACTTTTATTTTTGAAACTCTGTTCAATTCGGGATAGTCCCTTTAAGGTATGAAACAGTTCAAATTATCTGAAGTTCAGTGTCACCAGCTAGCCCCCACATAACTCCTGATACATATAACATTCTTCGAAACAGCTTGACGCCAATGTCAAACTATGCATCCTTGTGAAATGCAACTATACCAATAATATCAACCAATAAAACCCAACCTAAGCACCTTCTAAAACATCTTAGAATGAATATACATGTATTACCAAAACTGTTATCAATGTTAGCCTCCTCACAGATGACAACCCAACAACGACACCTAAAGCCCACAGAGCTGTGTACGGTTGTTCGTTACAAGGAGTGGGGTCGCCTGTCCAACCTCATGGGTTTTCTCCGGGTCCTCCGGTTTCCTCCCACTGCTAAAGACCCCTACGCGCAAGCGAATTATTGAAATAATATTTAACCATGTGTTAGTCCCGAAATGACCTAGTTTGTGTCGAGTAGACGTTAAACCCCATTTCTCTCTCTTTCTCTCACAAAACAGCCCAAAACCTTTCTAAATTTTTATTCTCACTTGACTCGAAAGACTTTTGTGATAACATCAACGTAGGTTCGTCTCCTGCGATGTTGTCGACCTGGTCACCCCCCCCCCTCCTCTTGCACACTCCTTACTAGACCACCTTAACACACAGCATAATGAAATTAAGTTCACCGTGGGCACAGAACGAGACAACAGTCTTCTCTTTCTAGATATCATTATCAGAAAAAACAACAAACCGCTCCAAACTACAGTTTATAGGAAACCAGCCCACAACAATCAAAAACTGAGCCACCACCCATCCGCGTCAGCATCCAGTTCAATGACAGTTCATCCTGCCAAAACAGACGAGTATGGTGGATATTAATAGTTGCGCTAATAATATTATTTTTAGAAAATCTACGTGTTAAGTGTGTGTTATGGTTACTTGCAATTTGATAATACATTTAGAGTGCGTCAAGTTGGTGATAACTTAAATAAGGCGGTTTTACAAGGATCATTCATTTTGATGTCAGATACAAAAACTAAATCGTCCATAAAAAATTGCCCAAGGTAGATTGCGGTGGATTATTTTGTTTGGGTACTATGTCCATATCTCCTTACAAAAAAGCAAAAATCATTTGTTTTGGATTTTTCCCGCAGGTCGGAGTGTTTCCTACCAGCCTATTAGTGGTCCAGGCAAGATAATATTAGTGCTGGCAGTTGCTGCAATAAATATGCGTGCCACGATTTATGGTCGGTGTAGACCTATATTATCACCAAAAAAAGTCCCAGTCCCAAATTCGTGTCCAAATAGGTCAAATTGGCAAATATCCAAAATGGCCGCCGGTTTTAGCTTCAAAAATTCCTATTGTCACCCAGTTATCATAATATGATCGAGTTTAGTATCAAAATATGCGTTTTAGAGGTAACTGAATCCGTATCCATACAATGATACCACTTAGTCAATATTGGGGGGTCATTCAAGACGGCGGCCTGTTTGGGCGTGAAATTTGAATTTTACATCATGATCAGGCTTGGTGTGAAAATATACGTTTTCAAGGTAGTAAAACCCATTTTCGTATATATTTTGGTTATTAAGTGCCCCCCTGTGTCAATATAGGAGGAAATCCAATTAGGGATTTCGGTTTCTGATTAGGGATTGGGGAATAATGATACAGTACTCGTGTCATAGAACTAATGCGGTGACATCCATTTAATAACATCTTAATTTTATTTGGTCTCTTTGGCCTATTTGGGGCCACTCCTAGCTTACTGCGGTAGCAGCGTAGCGGGCATGTCTACTGTGGCCACTATCACGCCGATAATTGAACCAAGATATACATGCCTATTGAAGCACGCTGCGAATTCATTTCACAAAACGATTTGAACTAGGTGCCGTCACTTGTCCTACGTGGCATGCAGACAAAATGGTGGTTACGTACGAAAGCCCAGAAAGCTCATTCCAAATTCCAAATTCCAAAATCCAAAATCCAAAATCCAAATTCCAGATTCCAAATTCCAGATTCCAGATTCCAAATTTGCAGCTGTAGCAAACAAAAACAAAAAAAATGCCAGTCCTAGGATACCGAGTAGCAGAGTAGCTCACTGCAGAGGAACTGTTCACATCTGCCGAAGCAAACCCGAACTTATTAGTCAAAAGCAAAAACCTGATCCGATTGGTCGGATCAGATTTGGAATTTGGAATTTCGCATTTGGAATTTGGAATTTGGAATCTAGTAATTTGGAACGGGTATTTATCCGGCCCAGATAGGTAAACTAGAAGTAATTAGTTGTGTAAAATTACAATTTATATAAATTCTAATTTGTTTAAAGTAACGATAACACTCTTGCTGGCTTGACAGTTCCAGAAAATAAATAATAGCCTTATTCTAAGTATTAGATGTTTATGTGTCCTACCTGTTGTGTAAATTATCCATTACATCCTATTTTACTTGTCCAGAGGGTTCGAAAATATTTTTAAATCCAAGTCACATTTGAAAAGGTTTACGTTAGGCTTTTCAAATCATTTAGTTGAATTTTTCCAATTTTTTAAATTAGGTGTGTTAAGATGAAATTTGTATCATCAATTAATTGGAATATTGTAAAATAGTACAATTTGTTGACTAGAATAAAGATTGGGACATATTATTCAGTTACAACAGGAGTGGTATTGGGCCTTTAATTGAGGGGGGTTGCCAATTTGCTATTTTATCGGTAAGACATGAATTTGGAATTTCGCATTTGGAATTTGGAATTTGGAATTTCACATTTCGTAGTTACGTGTTCTACTGTTAACTGTGTAACAGCAGTCTCTGATTTTTTGTAATCTAATCGACCGTCTGCTAATCGTCTATTTCACACCATGTAAAAAGCAATGGTATGCAAAAACTAGATTTCGGTACAGGCCCCTCCACTTCCATAGCTTTACAACTTTTTTCAATATTAGTTGGATGGCAGAAATTTTTGCGACATTCCACATGGTATTCATATCACTGAGTTGGGAAACACGGCCATCAATTCTCAGCTTAGCCGCATTATTAAGGTCCCCAATACCTATTTTTTTTCGGTATGACGGTAGGCAGTTCAATATCAAATACTTCATTGTATATCGGGACCCATCGGTGTCTCATCGTTTTGAACATTTTGTGAAATTAATTCACCACGCGATGAGAAAATTCATTAAAATGATAAGAAATTTTAATTAAATAGATGAGAACTTTATGTTACAATATAAAGATTAATTTGATATGCATGCAAATTGATGAAAATGATAAGAACAATATTTTCCATAAAGAATAATTTGAAATGCAGTGATATAAAAATTGATTAAAATGGTATGGTAAGAAAAATATGTTCAATATAAAGAATAATTTGAAATGCAGTGAAATGAAAAGTAAAGAGCACAGAAAATGACCAATAATATGTACTTAACGCGTGTGTATAAAATCATCTTTACAACAATTCCACACCACTCTAATTGATTTTTTTCGATGTATTCCCACGTGTTTCAATATTTTAGCCATTATGACTCAATTTTCGAGGTTGGTGACCAAACATAGACACGCCCCACTACGCCGCGTCCGCAGTGAGCTGCGAGTGGCCCTTTTCGATATGCCTGCTACACTGCTTCCAAAAACGTATATTTTGACACAAAATTTGATCTTTTGGTCAAATTCGAATTTTCCAGGCAAAACTGACCGCCATATTGAATTATTCCCCAATATAACTAATCACCAAAATTTGTATGGAAACAGATTCACCTACGTATCCTGGAGACGTATAATTTGAAACCAAACTCGATCATATTATGATAATTCTTAATAATTGACATTTTCCAACCAAAACTGGCAGCCATTTTTGATTTTGGCACTTCTGACCCATTTGGACACTGATTTCGGACTGGGACCTTTTTTGGTGATAATATTATACGTCTAGACCGACCATAGACATGATCACCGTATCACTTTAGTTTCCATGGCAACTAACAACACGTTCATGCATGTCTATTGAAAGATATTTGGTTATACCATTTACCAGTGTAACTTCAGAAAGAGCTTTTTCTACTGCTGGATTAATCTTGATTGACAAGAGAAATCGACTCAAACCCAGTACCGTGTGCATGCGACATTTTTTGACAAAGAATCTGTAGATTGATTTACACACACACACACGAACACACACACACATTCCCTTCATCTCTCGCAAACTGAAAGAAAAAAACGAGACTAAACGTGTCGGAGAACCAAACTAAACGGAAAAACGAAGTTGACATTCTCAAAATGGCAAAATGAGATAGATTCCCTGTTTGAATTCTCTGCGAAACAAACAGAAATCATCAACAAAGCAGAGAATGAACTATTGACACTCCCAGAAGGACACCGCGAAGAAGAACTAGTGGATCTTCTGAAAAACGTGGACCGCAGAAATTTCTACTGAGGAAAATAAGTCACACGCGATGTGGAAAAAGAACAAAGAATTCTTTACCAACTTGCCCACGCGTGCTGTAGAAATGGAGCCCATCCATACAGAGAGGAACACCAATAATTGTCAAGATACCGAGGCAAACCATCCCGCGACACTTGGCAAACGGTCCGGAATAAAAATCAAAAACCAAGAACGAAAGCAGGGACACAAAAAAAACATTGACAATAAAAACCCGAATGCGCGCAACCAAGCACGAAGGGGCACAAAGAAGCAATGGCGATAAAAACCAGAATGTACACAGCCAAACTGTCAGCAAAGTGACAAGTGTGCCCAATAACAATCAGCGGTATAACACACAATGGAGGAACGATCACACCTCTCAAGCCCGGAGGAAGTTTTTTCAGAGAGGCCTTTCCCAACCACAACGACCACCATCACAGTCCCAGCCACCACCTCCCCAATACAAGAAGAAAGTTCAGCGTCACTCAAGGAACGTCCACACAATATCCAATTCTCAGAACCAGTACACCCAAAAATCATAAATATATCATCCGTAAACTAAACAACTACGCCTAAAGCTAATATACAGGAAATAGAGTGTGATATCAACGCCTTCTGTAGGAAGCTACGACTAAAGGGATTTTTCTGTCGCTGATAGGGAAGACACTGTTATTCGGGATGACATAGATTTTGTTGATAGATTGCCCCAAAATCTGAACGATGGCGACGTTTTCGTAACCATGGATGTTTGTAATATGTATGGCAACATTTCCCATGACCTATGCTTTCAGGCCATAGAATGTTGGTTGGATAAACATCCTGAATGCAGTCATGAGAGAATTTCATCCTCAAAGCTATGCGAATCATCCTGACTAACAACACTTTTACATTTGGCGAATCAAATTACAAACAGATTCTTGGTATAGAGGTGGGTACCAAGGCGGCACCACAATTAAGTAATTACAGTGGGATTTCTTGAGGAAAAATTATACTCAATTGTAGAAATTGAACATGGCGTGGATTACAGATTATATTTAGAAAATCAGTTGAAATGATTTCTGGACGATATATTCTGTATTTAGAATGAATGAATTGGCCACGTTGCAGATTTGCAACAAATAATGAATGATTTAGATCTAAATATCAGATTCACAATTGAAACGAACGATCTGCAAATCGCATTCTTGATCGTTCTAGTGAAACGAAGGGGGAACTCCTTTTAACGGATATGTATTCTAAAGAAACAGATACCAAAAACTATCTTTCTTATAAACATGTTACCCACGCCATGCCAGAAATAATATACCCTTTTCTTTAGAAAGAAAAATATGCACCATTGTGATAGAGGTAATAGAAGTTGGGATAAATAGAGCTTTGGCAATTGATATCCAAACATTGAGGGCTAATAAAGCAAAAAACAGTTCGGATAGTATGATTACCTTTGTCGCTACTCATAATCCCCAACATCTTTAAAACAATGTACGAGAGCAGGTCACTCCTGACATCAAACAGCAACCCCAGAACGAAATTTGATAATGTTCAATTCATTAAATCACAGAGACAGCCACCTAATCTGAAACGCCTCCTAACCAAAGCAAAATTCAATTCATCTATCACAAGGACCGGTTTTTATGTATCTAAATGCCCGGATCTTCGATGTAAAAGTTGCAACCATATTACGCCAAATAACAAATATAATTTTCATAAGTTTAAGTTTAGTGTCAACGACAGTATAAATTGTGACACAAAAAATCTCATATATGTCTTGACTTGCAATGGGTGTCTAAATTTCTACATAGGAGAGACGGGCATACGTCTACGGGATAGAGTACGCAATCATCGACGGGATTGTAATATTGAAAATGGGCACTTATTTGTAAATAGACATATCTTTAAATGTGCACAACACCTACAAGTAAAATTCCAAATTATCCCTTTTTATAAAATGAAAACCGATGACATCACGAGAAGAAAATTAATGGAAAAACATTTTTATTAAAAAATACGTTCCTCGATTTAATAGTCAATAAGTTACAACTGGCCATTAACTTCATTAATTTTATAAAATCTATCCCATGATTATCTTCCACTCATTGTTCCTACATTGAACCCATATACCACAGATTAACACACGTGAGTACATGTTTTCTATTGGTTAACGATATAATATGTAACCATGGACAATTGTAACTATAGCCAATTAAAACCACAGTGTTACTACATGCATGTAAATATGTATAAATATTAAAATATACTATACTGTCCATCTTTATACAATGACATTATTTATGAATAGTCCCAAGACGGACGAAAAGTATTTTAAAATGTTAAAATGTTATTAAACCAGTGTTGAAATATTATGTTTGTTTCATATTAATTTTGCGTCTAGTTCATAATTATGTATTGTAGCCTTAGTTGATGTTCTTATTTTTTTCATGCGCTTAGTTTATGCGTGTGAATACGCTCTGGTTGACTACCTTCGAAATGTTAGGTCTCGGCTGCTCATTCCTTTCAGTAGTTAGAAGTTGAAACTATTCGAGTACTATTCGAATTACAATTTCCAGACCCGTCGAATATTCGAATGGTGTTTTGTTCGAATATCCGAACACTATATTATATGGTAATTGGTATAACATTATAACATATTACAGGGACATGTTAACCACGACTTGGCGTCGAATGCTATAAATGCTATGGTAGCTAAAGGGTAAGTATTTGGTGGTATTTCGATCTAAAGCTTAACGCACCTACCTGTCATCCCCTTTGTTTAAAACCGTGGGCCTATGTGGTTTTATTTCGATATTTGGGCTTGAATAGGACCACTTAGAGAAAAGCGACACTGTGTTATTGGTCTCATTTTTATGATGTTATTATTTACAATGGTCTAACTATTGACCAAGCAGCAAAATAATATTAACGGAAGTATAATAAGCAGAAACACATACCTAGATCAATTATGCATTTCAAAAAACAAGCAAGAAACAGAATATATTAAAAGTAAAGGCGGCATTTTACTGTAATGAATAACAAAAGTAAGATAGACCTAATAATCATACAATCGTTGTCACTGATACCGACTTTCTTTTATTTCTTAATAGGACTAAGATAAGAGCTCACAACATATTCTGGGGTATAGAGAAAAATATTCCCAAATGGCAGTCGAGTATCCCAGATGATCAAATTAAAGGAACGTTGGTGGACAGATTAAATGATATTGTACCTTTTACTAAGGGAAAGTAAGTTGAAGACTGCAGTGATTGTATTGATATTTATGTACACTACTACTACCACTACTACCTTGTGCTTTAACGTCTGCTTCCACAGAAGTGATATCGCAGACAAGACATAGGAGAGCCGAGGCTTCTTCCTATTTTTAGAATATGATTTTGCAATATTTCCATTTGCGGCCTTAGGTCATGGAGTAGGTTTAGTTGGATGTTCATCCCTTTGTTTAATAAAATGCCACTGCGGATCAGTGTGATGGAATGCTTTTAAACAGCTATGTAAGATAATCGAGGCTACGACTGTTGAGACTGACCGCTGCCTATGTGAATCGTTTCAAGACAATAAATAATTACAATTTTATGCACTGACAACAAACTTGCGATACGCGTTACATTAATTATATATCTTTACTTTTACAGACCATAATTAGAGTGTCCCGTGCAGCAAAAATTTTCACTACAGAAAGTTGAACTCGACACGGCGAATGTGCACGCTTCAGTGGCTTGTCTCGAAGTGATTTCTGGCTAATCACGCAGTGAGTCTGAGTCTATAAATAGCCATCGCACGTGCAATTCTCGACACATCTATTAACTATTACAGCCGTAAAATATTTATTGTTGACAATTCTGAATAGCAGTAATATTTAGCTTTTTGGTTATTATAGCAGCTTTAGAAAGTACGTTCGTTTTATTTTTTAAATTGCTTTATCATTAACTGTACCGTTCGGAACGGCATCTTTTGGTTAAGTACAAATAATATCTGTGAAACATTTCATTTTACTTTTACAAGGTTCTTAAAGCAATTATTGAGTTGCCTAGCGTGCGTGTTTCTAAATTAAATTTCTTGTTCCAATTTTCTGTTGTTTCGTAAAAAGTAGCCTTGATTATCCCGGCTTGTCAATCAGACGTAGAATGGTCAGTAGACTGGTTAAACGAGGCTTATTTCAAAACAAGGGCACGTATAACCTATTTGTTACTCAAAAGTGCCCGGATGTTATGGCCGACACTCGTAACCATTTTTCAGTCTATTATTTATGGATGGTTAAATGGTCATAGCTTTTTAAGTACAACATGACCGTTTATTTACTGACTATAAATGTGCGAATGTGCGAAACTGATTTAAGGCTTGGCATATATATAAATATTGTGGTGTAATTGTCGAGATATTTGGTGATATTTATTAATGGTGGGGCACCCTACCATAATTATAGGCCCATGTATCCCTTCATTCTCGCCTAATTTGAAATAACTAAAAGCATCAGGAAATAAGTTTTACAGTGCACCACGTTTTCTTTCGTTTCCTGGAAAATGATCACATGACCAATGTCCACTGCTCGATCATAATTTCCAAAATAAAAAACGTACTATAAAAAAATCGAAATTTCAAAAAGACCCGGAAATTATTTTGAATGAATTGTATTCTATATACCAAATGCCAATGCCATACTTCCGATAAATTGTCCTGTGCAGCTTGTGTACTCTCAACCTAGCCCGACAAATTGTACACACTTGGAAAAAATCAACAGCTAAGAAGAACCTTGGTTTCCTCATACAGGATATCATCTTTTCTAATCAACTTAATGAACGTTTTCTTCGTAAATATCACGATGTTATAATTGTTTTGATAAAAAGTAAATTTTCACCTAAGCATTCAATACAAACCTATAAAGTACGTAAGAAAAACTCGGATGTGTTATGTAAAATACTTTTTACAGATAAACATATATAAGACATTGGATTGAATAGAATCGTTACAGACCGATCAGTAATTAAACTTCATTGTGATACTTTTATTGTTCTTCAGCTGTACAAAACTTAAGACTCCGTAATTAGCTTGTGTTGGGGGAGCCATGGTCTTAGCTTGGCTTGACACCCTTGGGTGCCAACACCCAACTAACTTACATGGCCCCTGTCCGGTCTTAACTCGAGACCTGCCTAGTCCCATGTAAACTTCTAGACGCCCTCGCATAGTCTCGTCTCGTCTCTGATTTCGTTTCCATTCTGGGTTTCTAAACCCTTCTAGACAAAGGATCTCATTACACATCTGGCTACTGCATCATATCAGATTTAACATTCAGTACAGTTTGCTTATTAGAGAAAGGACATTAAATAAAACAGGCCAGCCATAAGTTTATATTATGGTAATGATTCATGAATGCCATCAGGACCACCATGGCTGTCAATCGCCGACATAAAAATATTATGCTTCCATGTGTCAAGATGGCACGAAGCGTACCTATAACATCTGTAACATTAAGGCTGGCAACAATATATTGCTTTTACCTGTGAAAAAAATACTGTCTTAGAAATATTCTTACTGAAGTTGGACTTTGTCCCAATACCAAAAATGACACTTATAAATGCATTACGGATTTAACTAAACTAGATATTTTACGTAATCAATATACTTTGAACAGGGGTAATGATATTAAAGACAATGTCAAAATAGATGCACTACCTTGCATTTATTCTATACCCAAATTCCATAAAAACCCAGTAAATTCAGGTACATAATATCCTCCAACATCTGCCAAACATAACCTTTAGCTAAAACAATTACCAAAGAACTAAAATTATGCCAAACTCAACATGCCACTTGATGCAGAACACTTCGTAGTTATACTGGAATTAATAGGTTTTTTTCATAATTGATAAAAATAAACCCATAGTAGATACTTTAGATAAAATCAATCAAAAACTTAATGCAAAAACAAAAGAAACGTTTGACCTTTCTACTTTGTATACTATGCTTCAACATTCAGATCTTAAAGATAATTTGGATTGGTTTGTGGATAAAGATTTTAATGGAGCTTTCGGGAAAGGCAGAATTTTGATGGCCATTTACTCAGAAGATGCTAAATGGATTGATTATAAAACGTTGCAATGCCGACACTGTAGTTTTTGATTAAGAACAGTTTCAAAACATCATACATTTTCTCTTTGACAGTGCTGTATTTGAGGTTGGGGATCAGATAATACAGCAAACTATTAGTTTACCAATGGGAACTGACTCCGTCCCATTTATGGCAAATGTACATTTATATAAATATAAATTCTGCTTTCAGGATGATAAATGAAAAACTGATTACAAAAGTAGCTAAAAGTGTAAACTATACCTTCCAATACATTGACATAACACCCATCAATGATAACGGAACTTTCAAGAAATGGGCGTGGCTCTGCCCCTGGGAGTCGGGGATGCACCAAAAACAATAGGGGTCATCCTTAGGGAATAAGGATTGATGTGGTACTTTTTAAAATGAAGAGAATAAAATATGAAATGGCTGTAATATGACAAGAGGAAAAGAAGGCTATGCGTTGGGCTGGTTTTGCCAAATTTACAGACAAAATATTAACAAAAAAGTGGTTGTGACCTTGCCCCAGGGGGTCGGGGCATGCACCAAAATAAATAGTTGCTGTCTTTGCGGTATAAGGAATAAATATGCAAAGTTCCAAGATGATACATTCAGAATCGCAGCCTGTAGACGATAAATATAAAAGTTAGGTGTGGCTCTGCCCCTGGGGGTTGGATATGGAACAACATAAATAGGTACCACCCTGTTATTGAAATGATTGATATTCTGAATTTGAACAAAATCTGTTAATTATTGCAACCTGTAGAGTATTTACCGATAAAAACTAACAAAAAAGTGGGTGTGGTACCACACCCCTGGGGACGGACATGCACCAAAATAAATAGTTGATATCCTTACAGTATAAGGAATGCCAAGTTCCAAGATGATCCATTTAGAATTCCAGCCTGTAGACAAAAAACACAAAAAAATTGGGCGTGGGTCTGCCCCTGGGGATTAGTCAAAAGTTGTCGTCCTTAGGGTATAAGGAATAAGTATACCAAGTTCCAAGATAATCCATTCAGAGTTGTGGCCTTTGGGCACTAGAGGCAAAAATTAGGCGTGGTTCTGCCCCTGGGGGTCCGGGCATTCACCAAAATCAATAGTTGACGCCCTTAGGCCATAAGGAATACATATGCCAAGTACCAAGTTAGGCTATAAGAAAAACATATCCTAAGTTCAAAGACGATCCATTAACATTCGTGGCCTGTAGGCAACACACAGAGACAATAAGTAAAATGGGTGTGGCTCTGCCCCTGGGGGTTGGGCAATTACCAAAAAACAATAGAGATCATCCTTAGGGTATAAGGAATATGTATGAAAAGTTTCTGCACAGTGGACGCTTACGGCTATCCCCCGGATCCATTTACCTAATTTGAATTGTTCGTTTGTTTGTGATTTCTGTGTATTGTGTCTTGTCCGTATATTTATTTTCTTGTGTAAATTATGTGTGGGGCAGTCCCCCTGCACTTAGGGTACTATTAAAGGGACACTGTCATGTAGATATTAATAAATACAAATTTAAGTATTTTGACCCTTAGGCCTAGACACAGTGAGATTATCTATTCATACTTTCTTAAATTGTTCGTAGTCAATATCATTTATTTTTCAGAGTTGAACATTGGGACGTAAACAATGAAAATATTCATGGTAACTATTATGAAGAAAAAACTGGATATGTTAATCTAACAATGTGGATGTTTCGTGAAACTCATAAACTGGACCCCAAAGTAAAATTGTTTTTAAATGATTTCGCAGTAGTTAATGAGAGATATTCTGGAGAGGTAGGCTATTTACCAAAAAAACAGTTGTTGGTATTGTTAATTTTTAATGATTCTTTTTTTAAAAAATGCAGCTATTTTTTTTTCCACAAAAATGACTGGCGGGGCAATTGTGTACAGGGGATTGTGTTTTGCGTTTTAGATAATAGCCATTAAGATGAATGTCTGTTTCTCTTTCAGGCATATTATAATCAAGGAATGTTGTTTAAAACCACACCAGACGTACCCATCTATGGACTAGGTGTACAGAGTCATTTAAAAACACACGTAGATCCAGAGGTTCTAAAAGTAAAGTTAAATGTATTATAGCTAAGTTGTGTCGGTGTCGGTGATTCTTGTATGGTAATTAGTTCTTCTAAAAGTGCAACCTGAAGTCAGCAACAAATAAAGTTTTCCCTGAAATCTGGGTTTAGTCTCCACGCTATGGTTATATAAATAGGAATCGAATGGGGTTCCATGTCTCGTCAACACGATTAATTTTTTCTATGGCAATGTCTGCTAAACAAAGGAGGAGAATTTTGCCCGGACAGGGGCGTTGCCACCAACACGTCGCCGACTTCAAACCGGAAATACTAAACAACAGATAATCCGATTTTCTTCTTGGCCCAGGCCGGGGTTGGTGCCAAGGCGTTATATAGTGCCTTGACCGCTCGACTACCGAGGCCACATGTAACCTGAAGGCGGAAAGAATATCTTTTCCAAGTATGAAAACGACCCAGGAAAATAAAAAAAAGTGCTAGATTAGCATAAAGGATGTGCTTTATAAATAAAATAATTCATCGGATCGTAGAAGCCTGGACTATAGACTGTTCATGGGTAGCCGGCATATTTCAAAGACAAATATCACAATCGAAATTGAAACGGTTTTATGTGTGTGGTGGACGGGGGAGGCGTGTATCCTGGAAGTTTTACTACTAAAAGCTGATTTCAAAGATATACTGTATTTTTTTTTAACTCTTGAAGTGTCTGGTGTGTATTTTTATTTTCGGCGGTCACGGTGGCTAAGTGGGTAAGACGCTGGCTCGCTGGCGTGGAGGTCAGGTGCTTGATCCCTGCATTGGCCGAGAAAATTCATCCAGATTTTCCGGCGTGGTCCCCCGTTGTCAGTGATGCAGGACGGGGGGCCTGACAAGGACACCGAGGTCCCGTGTATACATTGGCGTGCACGGCACGTAAGATATCCCTTAACAAGTTGGAATTCGATATAAGAGTAGGCCGTAGTGCCGCTGCCCGGGCAAAATTTCCCAGCACACTGTCTGGCGTATGCCTGTCTTCATTAGCCCAGTTCGGAGCAGAACAGTAGGACGTTAAACCCCATTTCATTTCATTTGTATTTTTGGTCCCCGCCTTTCGAAGAAAGCAGGGGCTATTAAAATGGGTTCGTCAGTATGTCTGTCCGTCCGTCCGGCCGTCTGTCCGTCACACTTTTAACACTTTTTGGGACACAATAACTCTCCTTATACTTGAGCTAGAACGTCCAAACTTGGTGTAGGTGTTTGTTAGGTCAATGCCTTGATGGAGTTCGTAGATGAGCATTTTCTGCTTAGGGTAAGCAGAGGTAAGCAATTTGATTGGTTGATGCTTTGGGACACGATAACATTAGTTCTAATTAAGTGAAAGTGGTGTATAGTTTCACTACATCAATACCTTGACTAAGTTCGATAATGAGTATTTTCTGCTGAGGGTAAGCAGAGCGATAAGCAATTTGATTGACCAAGACTTTGGAACACAATAACTCTCCTTATAATTGAGCAAGAATGTTCAAACTTGATATAGGTGTTTATTAGGCCAATGTCTTGATGGAGCTCGTAGATGAGCATTTTCTGCTTAGGATAAGCAGAGTTAAGCAATTTGATTGGTTGTTGTTTTGGGACACGCTAACTTTAGTTCTAATTAAGTGAGAGTTTGGACACTTGGTGTATAGTTTTATTACATCAATACCTTGACTAAGTTCGATCATGAGCATTTTCTGCTCGGGGTAAGCAGAGCGATAAGCAATTAAAATTTTGATTGGTCGCGACTTTGGAACACAATAACTCTCATTCTAATTGAGCTAGAATGTTCACACTTTGCGTAGGTGTTTATTAGCTGATTACCTTGATGGATTTAGGGTAAGTAGAGCTAAGTAATTTCACAGGTTGTTGTTTTAAGAAGAGATAAGCAATTCGATTGGTTGATACTTTGGGGCACAATAACCCTGGTTATAATTACGTGAGAGTGATGAAACTCCGAGTATAGATTCATTATATCATTACCTTGATTAAGTTCGATGATGAGAATTTTCTGCTTAGGCTAAGGAGCGATAACCAGTTTGATTGGACAAGCCTTTGGAACATAACAACTCTGCTTTTAATTGAGGTAGAATGTTTAAACTTGATGTAGATATTCATTAGGTGAATGCTTTGGAAAAAGATAACTTTGATTCTATCTGATAGAGAGTGATGAAACTTAGTGATAATCAGTTTGATTGCTTGATACTTTTGAAAAAAATAAATGTGCGATTAATTAATATGTGTCGTCTATTTATTTTGGGATTTCGACGAGAGACATCAGCCTCACTGTTGGCTTGTTATTTTTAGTTTAGGTTAGATCGGCTTGCGAGAATTGGTTTACCTATTTGGATAACTGAACTAGACATAAGTAATTATGATGTAAACGCTAAAGCTGACTATCTTGAAGATGTTTTAAGGCTATACTTCAGCTATCCCTCTATAGAAGGCATTATGTTCTGGGGATTTTGGAGTGGACACATCAGTAAACCAGCGGCGGCCTTGGCAGATGGTTCTCCAAACACTGTAAAGGTAAAACTGTATACGACTGGGATCTTTAAAAGTTTTATATCGCTGTTATACAGATTGTAAACCCAGGCAAAATGAAATAGTGATTTGAAATTTGTTTAACTTGAAGTATTTAGGAAGTATTAACAGATGATCTGAAGGGTTGGGTAAAGAGTGTTGTTAATGGGTCTATTAATAATTGGGAAGTTAAAGCAAAATAAACTTATCCAGGTATACAAGATGTCATAATATTTATGGATTTCCCAGATTGTGGGCTAGAACACAGAGTGGCAGTGTTGGTTTTATCTCTCTTTCCCTTCAAGGGAGCATTTTCTTAGATGGTTTGGGTAGGTCAGAAAAACGAACATAAAAACTTTAACGTCTTTTAACCCACAGGCAACTTTACCATTTAAAACTATTCTCTGTCTATCTTTAGGCAAATCCAGCTGGAGAAAGGCTGCGAAAATTAATAAAACAAGACTGGAGAACAAATGAATCGAAATCTTTATCTTCTGGTGCTACAACTATACGTGCGTTCAGGGGAGATTACTCATTAAAACTATTGAAGAATGGTCAAATTATCTACTCTGAAAACTTTACTTTGTCAAAAGGTGGTAGATATTTAGACTTGCACCTGACAGGTAACTTTCCAAATCTTTTAAGTTCAATTTCTAATCGGCTTTAGACGCATTTACTAAACAGTCTGAAATGTTTTACTACACAGATTGTTATTGGTGAACTATTTAGAAAATTGATTTTATTTGATTGTCATTATGTGACAATGGACCGTCATTTCGTGTACATAGAATTATAGTTAAATATGTATTGTTATAGGCCTACACATAAATGTACACATTTTATTGTCTTCGTCTTTTTTTCCGTTCTTCCATCCATCATATATTGTTCCTGGCTAATGATCGTTGATTAACGGATATTACACTATTGTACGAACTTGTAGAGTTAAATTCGTGACGCACTTTGTATAGTTAAATTCTTGTCGCATTTTGTAGAGTTAAATTCTTGAACAATTATAGAATGAAAACTAATTCTAATATTCGGTGGGTGGCCGAATGGTTATCGCGGCCGCTTTAGATCAGGTCAAGAGTAGAGTCACCTGTCCAACCGCGTGGTTTTTCTCTGGGTCCTCCGGTTTCCTCCCACTGCTAAAGACCCCTATGTGCAAGCGAATTATTGAAATACAATTGAATCATCAATCAGATTAAAACACAGATTCTACTTTTTATAGTTCAAAATTTCGTTTTACTTGTCTTTACTATACTAGGATCTGGAAGAGTTGTTATATAACCCGCGTTCTGGGTGATGTGAAGGATTAGCCAATAAAACAGTCTGTTACGGCGAGTTTTTGGCGTGAGTTGCAAGGAACTTTGGGTAAACCAATAGAAACGTCAAGGCTGATTGATTAATCAATGTCTGACGTCATAAGGTCAAAAGCCGCTTTTGACTCGACTTTTCACTACAAGTGGTCAGATTTTAATGTAGTGTAAGCCATCGAAAGTATAAGAAAACGAAACGAAATATAGATCTTTATTTTAATCAGCTTGTTGAACCATATGTTAGTCCAGAAATGACCTAGTTTGTGTCGAGTGCACGTTACCCCCCCCCCCTCTCTCTCTCTCTCTCTCTGTGACAATTTTCAAAAACATAAGTGTAGTGAAAACCCCGTGTACATCCACGAGGACGAAAAGTGTGCGAAAGCGCATGTTGCCTTGCCTGTAAAATTAATACAAATGTGCATGGTAGTATTTTGTGCTTTGGTTACCATTTTGAATTATTATTTTAGGTTCAACGGTTTCAATTATTGGTTAAACTCCAGAGAAAACGAATATTTTTGTCTGCGATGCTAATAAAGAATTGCTGTTGTTAATCGAATATTCTTTTCTGTGCTACCAATTAATTGACTATAATTTGAAAAGTAGAATTATGAATGAAGGTCGTTAGCGGGCGAGACTAGTATCCCTGAATCAGTAACTGGAACCCAGTCTGATATTTTCCACAGAAATCGAAATAACTAGGGAAACTGTACAGGATGTTGGGAACAGTTTAGATGAAATTCACAAATGGGTGACTCTACATTTCTTAATGTTAAATTCAAACAAGACTTAAGTGCTTTACATCGGTAAGAATCAACAACTGAACAAAATCGATAAGACCTCAACAAACATCGGTGCTATCATCGATTCCACACTACCTTTCGAGGCCCACATCAAAACCATGTGCTCTTAAGCTTATTGGCAGATATACACATTAGCTAAAATAAAGAAGTACCTAATGTGTGAAAATCTAAAACTCCTCTTTCGTGCTTTGATCTCTTCTTATAGATTGGATTGCCACAATGCTCTGCTGTGTGGTCTGCGACAGCGGCAGCCACATAAGCTTCAATATGCCCAGTATGCTTCCGTTCATTGTTTCTAACTGATATTCATTCTGCTGGGATGTGAACGCTATGCGCTTTGTGTTACTGTTACAAGTTTGGTGCCTAGCCGACCTAAAGGTGCTACTTGTTACACTAGTAACTATGTTTCTATAGCCTTATAACATCCATAATACAACGGTTATATACAGGAAACTACAAACACAGCTATGATATTAAATATAAGCTAAATATACGTTCCCGATCACTTAACGCGTTTTCGGTGATGATCTTCCTCGGTGTCTTAAGCCGAGGCGGCTCGAAGTCCCTCTAGGAATGACAATGATGTCTGAATGATGATTGACCATACCTTAAGGTGGCAAGAGTCACACACTTCTTGGTTGTTCTACGTGATGTTCTCGCCCGGCCTGTATTAAATATAAGCTAAATATACGTTTCCGATCACTTAACGTGTTTTCGGTGATGATCTCCCTCGGTGTCTTAAGCCGAGGCGGCTCGAAGTCCCTCTAGGAATGGCAATGATGTCTGAATGATGATTGAACATACCCTAAGGTGGCAAGAGTCACACACTTCTTGGTTGTTCTACGTGATGTTCTCGCCCGGCGGCGGCTAATGGTATGTCTCACTAGGAAACCCACATAATGTCTGAAGGGAATTTAACCCCGCTCCTTCTTATATAGAAAGTATAGACGCGTCAGCTATTAGGGCGAGGCAATTACCATTTTTGGGTAAGTGTTTCGTATGGGCACCGTTTTAGTCATCATTACTCTCTTTAATTGGACTAATCTGTGCACGAGATTACTGGACGCTTGTACCCTATACTTTCAGCAATTGATGGTGGCAGGAACTGCCTGTGAGTTAGTCTAAGAAAGTTGAATATTGCAAAATACCTACTTAGCCCATTTCTCGTTGTCGTCCATTTGTTTAACCACTTCAATATATTAAACAGAGCACATTTCATAAAACTAAAATAACCCATATAGTATTACCCTACTTTCCTGCAGGTAATAACATTTTGTCTGGCAGTTTTGGTCCGATTTGCATGAACTTCGAACTCGACCAACAATACGGTGTAACGGTGACATATTTCAACGTTTTTTTTTTAAATCAGATAATAATTGTGACCTCTTAAGGGACGACAAGCTAGAAACGCGACTTTTCGTACAATCAGGGGTCATAATTCAGGAAGTTACGATCCGATATGCGCGAATATCGACAGGAACATGCATTTCAAATTTCATCGAAATCGGTTGAAAATTTTGACCTCTTGAGAGTCCATAACCTTGATATACCATATTTTTACACTATTGGCGTAAGAAGAGCGGCCATTTTTCCGGTAGTTTTGGTCCGATTTTTACGAAATTCGAACTCAACCATAACGGTGATATATTCAAACGTTTTTTTTTAAATTGGATAAACATTTTTAACTCTAGAGGGACCATAAGCTTAAAACGCAATTTTTCATACTAGTAAGGTCCATAATTCAGGAAGTTACTATCCGATATGCGCGAATATCGAAAGGAACCAGGATCTTTGTGATATAAGCATAACTTTAAGGTTGCGTCAAAATCGGAAAAATATGTGACCTCTAGAGGGTCTACAACCTTGATATACCACATATTTACACCATTTGCGTTATACGAGGGGTGGCCATTTTGTCCGTCAGTTTTGGTCCGATTTTCACGAAATTCGAACCCAACCATCATTACAGTGTAACGGTGATATCTTCACACGTTTTTTTTTTAAATCGGATAATAATTGTGACCTCTAGAGAGATCACAAGCTAAAAACGCGATTTTTCGTACAGTCAAGGGCCATAATTCAGGAAATTACAATCCGATATGCGCAAATATCGAAAGGAGCCAAGATCTTTGGGTTATAAACATATATTTCAAGTTTCATCAAAATCGGATCAACATTGTGAGCTCAAGAAGGTCCACAACCTTGATATACCATATTTTTTTACACTGTTTGCGTTCGAGGGGCGGCCATTTTGTCAGATAGTTTTGGTCCGATTTTCACGAAATTCGAACTCAACCGTCATTAAGTAGTAACGGTGATATATTCAAACGGTTTTTAAAATCAGAATAATATTGTGACTTCCATAGTGGCCACACGCTAAAAAATAACGTGATTTTTCGTACAATTAGGGGCCATAATTCAGGAAGTTCCGGTCCGACATTGTTACGATCCTGTGAACACCCCTACCATATATTTATTGTTGTATAAATTATTATGTAATTTATAAGTTATTAACTGTTATATAGTATTCTTATCAGAATGTGCCTTTCTTTGTTAATGGGATCACTGGTTTGTTTACCTTTACGAACTTGTTCTCCCCCACGTTACAAATGGACTGCGCCATTTTGTCCCGCGCCGTTTTCTTCGCAGGTTATAAGTAACCGAAAACGCCACATAGCTCCATGCAAATGGAGTGTCATAAACAAATGAGTTGATGGACTACAGTAGTAAACCCAAGTATCAATATCTGCACATAAATGAACATGTCTATGCCTCGAGCCTTACCGTAATTTCGATTGAAACATCGACGTACCAACCGTCTGTCAAAACGTAGAATTTTAGTTCTATGGTCAAAATGACAATCGCGCGACTGTTGGTCACGTGATACTATGTTGGGGGTTAATGATGTCAAAATTGGGTGACGTAATATGGCGCGCTGTACGACCATTCCAGTTAGTTGGCCTTCGCAGCTCATGTATACTTACGTATTGTTGGAGTCCGGAAAATAGCCATGGCTCAATGCACCTTTACTGGTGAGAAATTAATTATGAGATTGTAGTAGATTGTTCAACCTGACGTGTTGGGGAACCCAATTATACTTCTTTAAAAAAGAAGGCCAAATTTTAGAGGAAAACTTCAGTCATAATTTTCGGTGTTTACCGTGCCTTTGATATTGACTTTTGACGTTTTGTCTTAACTGTGAGTCGACGTTTGACTCCAGTTAATTATATTACCTGTCTTGCCCTTTTTCTGAAGGTGTTACTGGTAGAAATATATATAGCAACTCCATATATAATTGAATGATCAGATTTACCTGTAGAACCTAAAGTGGTTTTATAACCAGTCATTGGTGCTACCGATCTAGTGCTTCAAACCGAACCTGGTGCTTGTATGAATGGGCTGGGTGCCTTGAACCGAATCTGGCAGTTCGAACCGAATCCGGTGCACAAAGCATTAACACGGTTATTACAGGCTGCTATGATTAGTATTAGCAGCAAGGTTTTTAGTGGAACTGCTGCGGGGAATTGAAGAAAATAAATAAGGTTTACAGTCTCATTAGAAATACTTGAAATACTAATTACTATTTGGGCACTGAAGGGAGATAACTCCTTGGGCTTGAGATTTTTATTTACAGGAAAACCGTACCTATCCAGAAGTTCCTGAATCGCGTATTGCGTACACATTAAATATCTTTATATTAACTACATGTACATTAAAAACTAAATACCAGTAAAACTATTTTCAAAGTCAATTTAAACCTAGTAAAACTTTTCACTTCGATGTACACTTTTAAAGCTACTTTCTCTTGCTAAATATTGACAATATTGTATTGATTATATATATATATTTATGTATAATCCTTGAGTGGCATTTAGCGATTGAACACATTAAAAACACAACACAGTTTATATGGAAATACAATCACTGGTTTATAAGTATAGCACGACGTTTCGACAAGTATTCTCTTATCGTTATCAAGCACAAATGATATTTAGTTAAACTAAAAGGTGATATTTATAGTAAAACAAAAAAGAAGCCATAGATAAATGCTGTTATAATACAAGATAATAGTTAAATTGATCAAAGGATAATTAAAACTTAAATATAGTTAATTGATGGGGGTTAACAGTGACCAGGGAGCAACAAAGCCATATATTTGATATAGACAAAATAAACACAATTTGAAGCCCTATTAATAAGAAATTTATAATAATGTATAAATTGATCAAAGGATAATTAAAACTTAAATATTAGTTAATTGATAGGGGTTAACAATAATCAGTGGTTAACAATAGTCAGGGAGCAACAAAGCCATAAATTTGATATAGACAAAATAAACAATTTGAAGCCCTATAAGTAAGAAATGTATAATAATGGATGTATACAGTATAACCCCTTAATTTGGTAATTACAAAATATGGTTTATATAACAGGTATTATACTTCTCTAAGCTAATTAAGGGGGAGGGGGGGGGGAGCAGTATGATTGAAGTTAGGTTTTATAATATGTAGAAATGGCCAAAAAGGAACAACAAAAGAAGAAAACAATGTGATTAAAATTAGGTTATATAATAACTAGAAATGTCCAAAAGAAACAAATAGGAAAACTATGGGCCAATAGACAATTATTTCTCCATCTTAATTAGTTCATCATAGGCCTTTGGTATATAGAACCCTGTGTCTCTATTCAGTTCTGGGCTGTGGCGTTTGATTTGGATGGCTTCTATGATTTTCCTGTTTTTCTTTTGGTGT